ATTAAATCACATATTTTAAAGAGCTCTGGTGGTATATTACATTGCACCAGGCTGCTGCAGTACGCGGTTTTACCACTAGAGGGCGGCAGAGGACTGAACTTGACAATCACCTGACAGCAAGAGAAGCACAGTGACCTACATTGCTGCGGCAACAGCATGTTGAGGTCACTAGTATTACACATTAACAAACACCTCAGTCATAGGCTTTTATCGTCTTAAAGTTACAACAGACATATATTTACATTCTGCCTAGACTTTCTTTACGGCCTTTGACGATGGTAGCTGTTAGTATTATCATTATTATCAATGAGGAAGAATAATTAACAGCGACACCTCTGTGATTGGGAACAAGCCGATAAAATGACATCATCTCCTGGCATATATCTCTGTTTACTAGCCCTGTCACTGGTCCAATAGTGCACATAGACTGTAATGATACTGCCCAAAGGAGACAAATACCCTGCAAGTGCCCCATTATTTATAGTTAATTAATGCAATTAACAAACAAAAAACATGGGAAAAATCTTTGACTTGTGCAGCTGGCATATTGTAGTGGAGCTGAAGTAGCCTAAATGCTTGACTGAATAATTTTGATAATTGATCAATCATTTCAGACTTCTAGTGTTTCCAGCTTCTCACATGTGATTATTTAAAGCTTGTTTTGTAATAAATGACGGTAAACTCAAATGTTTTCGCCTTTTGGCATATTTGTCGGCCAAAACAAGAATATTTAGACGATCATCCTGGTCTAAAACGAGTTGTAATCTGCGTTTTATACTAGAATATAACATTTTGGGGACCAAAGTTTTGCACAGTTAATCAAAAAAAGACATTAATCAATAGTCAAACAGTTATCTTGTGGCTCTAGAGTCTATTTAAGGATTTTAGGCTTTTTAAAAATGTTGTGAATACTGATGGAAGTATACTTAACTGTGAGCAGAGTATTTTATTGCAAATGCTGAATTGCACAAATGTTCAAAGTTAGCCGTAGAAGTTGTCATTGTGCACAAGGTAAAACATATAATTGTGTGTGTCACATGAACAAAAAAACTAAATCGTTTTTGACATTGGCTTGGACCCTCTCCAGCGTCATTTGATGACCTGGCAGATTTACGGGGGCTGTGTGTAAAAAGTAACACAGGATTATCCCGTGACCATCTTTTTAATCTGCTGGTATAATCTCTTTATCGATGGCAGGAGAGGAGAGGCGTGTTAAAAAGAGCAGGGGGTTTGCACTGTGTTTAGGTAATCTGGCTCATTATCTAAAGCCAGGGAGAGACGGGGGTGGGGGGGGTGGAGTATGGTTTTAATTCCACCTCATCAGTGAAGCATCCGACTTCACTCAGTGTTAGGTTTGTCCGTTACTGTAGAAAAATGGACAGTAGGCCTAAAACATGGCAACTCCCTGGAGAAGAAGCTGCTTTGAAGATTTCATTAGAAGGTTATAAAAAAACAAAAAGTCTTATATTCAGTAATTAACCAACCAAACAAACAAGAAGTATTGTATTGATAGTCCCTAAATCTTAGTAACCGCTCATCTAAAAAGGTCCAACAACTTAGCTTTAGCTTGCACTTGCGTAACATTGTTGTTATGTTCAATTTTGTTATGCTAGTAGCGGCTAATGAACGCTAGGGAGGGGGGCTCTAACTCAACAACCCAATAACTTAATATTTATTCTAAAACTTCTAGTCTTTTCACCAAACTTGGGGATTTGGTGAACTTGGGGACACGCTGATTTAGCCTACACTTGTTTTTCAGAGAACCCAAGTTATTAGCTTAACCTAAACTAGCGTAACAGAAAATGATGCATCAATCGTGGCGGCAACTTGTTTGTGGACTTTCATTTACAAGTCTTGATTCCAGGGATCGTGGCCGATGTTATCTTGTATTTTTGGAATCAGAAGTGACCGTATTTGAATGACAGGAGGGAAACACACTGTTGATAGATTGCTGTCTGTCACAGGAAGCCCTGAAGCATACCTAGCTAGCTTAATGTTAAGTTACTTGAAATAAGACAAAAACATCACACTGTATTGAAGAAGATTTGAAACTACAACTCTTTTAGAAATGTTTTACTGAGGTGATGAATTAACAGAGAAGTACGTTTTGTTTTAAATAAATGTGTTTGTGAACAGGGGACGGTTAAGAGGCACCTCAACTTCCTCCAAAGTCCATCTGATATTTAACAATTTGTAGTTGAAAAGAGCGGGACAGCTCAAATTCTCCTCTGGGATTTGCCTTTCTAAGGTTTATTTTTGGCACTTTTATGACATTATTTCAGAGATAGGACAGTGGAGAGAGATAGAGAGTTGGGAATGACATGCGGCAAAATGATCCACTTGTCGGATTTGAACCTGTGCTATACCCGCTTTGAGAACTGTACCCTCTGTACATGGAGCATGCAAACTAACCTCTAGACCACTGGTGCTCTGGATTTGCCTTGTTTACCCTTTATGGATATAGAATGCATTTCTACTCTACAATGAAATAAATATCCAAATCTTCCATAATAATTAAATGTATTATGTGCTAGGTTAAAGTTAGCCAGTGCTATGGTTGAAGTACAAACCATTTTATTTGTCGTTGCAGATGCCTGGTAGCAATAATCAAACAGAAAAGAGTCGTATTGTGCTGCAGTGATAGAATGACAAATCCATGATAATGAGGTCTTAATAGATTTGACATGAACAAACATGCACGCCGAGAGTTAAGTATAAGGAACATTATGTACGAACTTAAACGCCTCTACCTGTTTGCTTTTCTGTTACATCATCACCACCAGAGACAAACTCGGCAGCGGCAGCACATAAATGTCTGAAAACCATCCAAGAACATCTGAGGCACATGATGGTCGGTGTAAGCCGCGATCACATTTATGATAATCCGTCTACGCTGAAAACGTCAAGCCAGTCGGTGGCGAGCCAGCCGGGGGGCCGTTGACGTCTGCGGTGTGATTATAGGTCACCTTCTGATTCAGAGTCAGAGATTGTAACCACAGCCCGGCCTGTGTCACCAGAGTGTGTAAACAATACACCTGGTTAAAGTCGTTGTCAAACACAGGGAGAGCTGCAGCGTGGTGGTAGACTCAGAGGGAGAAAAGAGATCAAGAGATTCTTCAAAATGGTGATTATAAGAGGAACAGAAAAGCCGAAATACATGGCAGATGAGCACCTGCTAGTTTTCTTGAAAAGTAAATCCTAAAACCACATATGTGCATTGTTTTTATTTGAAGATGAAACTAGGTTGTATGTCAGCTCATGGGAAGAGTCTACAGGTTCACATTGAGAAACTGATTTCACAGACTATAACCGGTTTTGCACCTTTGTATATTCGCCCGCTGACAACAGCATAAAGAAGGTTTGTGCTTGTCGGTGCGAGACTGCACGTGTGTATGACTCACTTTGAGTCACACCTGAGACTCCAGTCAGTGTGCCATGCGGGCCTAAAATAGAACAATTCACCTATTTTTTTTTTTTCACCCACTCTGGGCCTCAGTTAAACCAAATAACACGTGTTGTTTTACTCTGTGAGAGTAAATATCCACGCAGTTCTGACTCATAGAAGTTGAAATTATCGATGTGGGTCAATACACTGATGTTTATTGTTGGATCAAATCGATCCTTTAACTTTAAATGAGGAAATGGTGTCGCCCCACTGTGTGCTGCTGCAGGTGTAAACATCAGTGAAAGCTGTTTGACTAATGATAACCTGTAATAAATCAACTTTTATACAAATTAAACACATCATTTATCAAATTTGTAGTTAGTTTTTTGTGATAATTGAGATGGGTTTCTAACTGACCACACCTTTAATGCTGCAGCACCCATCAGGACCTTTTACTTTTACAGCAGGTAGCTCATAAACCTGACTGCTGTTACAACATGCTGACTCATGTTTTGCTTCTGTTCGAACATTTGAATCAAGAATATTTTACTATTGGACAAGATAAAGTCGTAGACATGTAAATAGAAGCGTAAACAGGAAGAACAATTGTTAAGTTATTCTGCATTCAGGACATTTTGATCAGTTTTATATGTTATAAAAATCAATATTTCAAAGTTAATCTGAAGAGAGTGCACTTTATGGATTATGGTGGCTGATAAATAATCAGGTTAAAAGTCACAGACAGTTTTCTTTTTTTAATATGCTTTATTTGCATGACCTATAGGTGGCTTCTGTAAATAAATAAACGTGGTACAATGCCTTTAGTAGCCTATAAACAGGGTTTATGTGTCATATTTCAGAATGAATGTAAAACAGATGTTTACAACATTACGACAACAAATAACGAGGCCTACGTTTTCCATCCATGCTACATTGCTGCGAGTGAAATACATTCAACACAAACTATAAATAACTGAAGATACACGGTTTAGAAAAAGATCTCATATTGCGCATAATATTAATATATTTTTTTATTCTTTTTTTTTTTTTTTTTTACATTTGACTGAATTAAAACGTATAGAAGAATAGAAAATAGGCTAAAAGTAAACAATGTTTATTAAATAATGGTTAGAAAAGGAATAACATCACGTAAATTCATTTAGAAATTATATAAAAACATGCCAAAATACAAAATAATTTCCTCTTATTTATATTCTATGAAGCCAAGATACAAAAACAATCCCAGCCTAGATGTAGCAAAAAAAAATAAATAAATAAATAAATAAATAATAATAATAATAAAAAAAATAAATAATAATAATAATAATAATAATAATAAAAATACAAATTAAAATAATAATACAAATAAAAATACAAATACAATAAAAATAAAAATAAAATAAAAATAAAATAAAAATAAAAATAAAAACGTAATAAAGATAGCAAAATAATATCAAATGTACCGTATCGTCGTGCGGGGAAATATTGTAAAATTAAATTAAACATTGTACCGAAAACATACGGAAACACGCCTCCTCTCTCTCTCTCTGTGTCTCTCTCTCTCTCTCTCTCTCTCTCTCTCTCTCTCTCTCTCTCTCTCTACAGAAGAGGCGTAGCTCGCTGGTCGCTGCTCATTGTGCGACTCCAGCGAGAGAAATTTCCGCTTCCTGCACCGATAAACAACAACCGAGCAGGCAACACACAACGAGCCGACACGAAGTTGAGGCGCAGGGGGGACAGGGAGAGAGTGAACACCGCGGGATTTACCGCCTGTCTCGGGGTTAAAACACACCCCCCCCCCCCGGACGACTGCAATATGTTTCCACTTGCAGACGGCGAATAGCACCAGACGGACCAACTTTCCGTTTGCATTGTACTCGGAGCGTTTTACGCATTTTGCACCACCAAGGAGCCTCTAAAAAAAAAAAAAAAAAAAGGTAAAGAAAGGAGGAGGAGGCGACACCGCAAAACCACACAAGGAGTAGCCAGGCTACTACGGGTATTCCTCCGAATCAGCACCGTCTCCAGCCTCCAGGATGTCGGAGCGAGGAGGGCTCCCGCGGACTGGGGGCGTCCCGTCGCCGCACATGCAGCCCTCCAAGCCGGTCAGCATCACCTCCAACCGGCCGGTCCACATGAACCTGTACGCCACCTGGGAGGTCGACCGCTCCTCGCCCAGCTGCGTGCCGAGGTATGTGAAGAGGGGATGGGGAGGGGGGGGGGGTGCATGACTTAGAAATATTTTGTGGGTGGTTGTGAATGAGAAATGACCCAGTCAGTGTGTTTACAATGGAAATAGACTAAAACCAGTGGGTGCCTGGTTGGAAAGATGACATGTTTGTCACATTAAAGGCAGTAATAAGGAGAATTGGGCTTTTTTTTTTGTTGTTGCTCTATTTACCTATTTTGACCCCTTTTAGATCCCATTTTGACCACCCAAATAATCATTACCCAGTAGCTTTTTACAACACTCATGTTACAGACAGCCCCCCCCCCCCCTCCCACCCCCCTGGTTATCTTTCATACTAATATAGATGGTTTGTGTTTGTGTGACAGCTGCTGCCTTTCCCCAGCAGATCGCCTCAGTTGATCAATGCAAGGGACAGATCGATGATGCACACTGTCACAGGCATGTTGTTTCCGTATATGACACATCTGTAACAACATCACACACAATGCCATGTACGTATGTTGGCCCTGAGGGGGAAAGAGGAAGGCAGGAAATTGTTTTTTGAAAACAACAGGCTGAAATGAATCAGATATTCTTTGCCTCGGCGTGATCACTTCATGCTGTGGTGCGGGGTTAAAGTTTGTTGTGGATGATGCAGAGAGGCGCCTTAACAATCTGAGCACCTTTACATCCCAGTGCCTGATGTGTTGGATTGTTGTATTGTAGCAGAAGATGAGTTTTAACACGTAGAACCATGTTGTTCATTTTTTTTCCCTCCCTCTTCACATGATCATTAAATGCTCGGCTGTAATAAATAATGTCCTTTTGTAGGCGAGCAACCTCACCAAACCAATAATCGCGATACGCCTGACGTGCTGGTTTGTAAAGGAAGAGAAAACACATCATTTCGTGCAACAGCGGAACGGTCCACAGTAGGCGAGACACCTTATCCACCTGAGCTGAGCGCCAAACAAAGACATTCAAGTAGGCTTCCTTTGTGTGCCTGAAGGGCCGTAAAAAGGATTGATTCCGGCGTGCGTGCATGCGCGTGACGCGGCTGACAGGAGCAGACGCTCACGCTCGTACGCGACCGGTGATCGTTCCATCTGCTTGTAAAAGAAACACGTTTGGATTTGATGTGCCATAAGTCTGTCTGCCCCCCTCCCCCTTCCCCTTTTTTTTTTTGTATTTATGAGGCCTTTAGTAATAACCGTGGTGGTGGTCAAGAGTTGGATTCAAGGTCAAAGGTTAACTGCTGTGACTGAAGCGCTGCTCATGTGATTCACCACCTTGGACTAAAGTCTACACAGTGAGGGCCGAGTGGAGCAGAAATGACATCGTAACGTGTTTGTTTGTACATTTCATTGAGTCGTATCTTTAAAACTTCACCTTTTATCACCTTGTAAACAAAGCTTTTAACTCCACGCTTTCCAATAACATGCCGTACAAAGTCGGGTCGTGTATTGCCGGGTAACTTTCCTTACGGTACGACATGAAATACGTGGCTCGTGATGACTTAAAAATGACGAAACAGTGATTTTGCAATGGTCGATATATTGCAAGAAAATCAAAATCATGACAAATGTTTGTGTGAATCAGGGCCGACACATGTTGGGCAGATTGTCGATGTTTCTTTAGTAACGTCTTTTGGTGAGAGGCTCCCGCAACGCCGACATTTTCTCTCAGTGGATCAGAGTTTGTTCAACAGGTGACTTCTTCTGCCCAATAAAGAAACCTCTTCTTTGAATCAGATGTGCGAGATGTCAGCATTAAGTTGATCAGACTCAAAAGATAAACGTCGACGACTGACATCAGTTCATGCCACATTATTTTTCCGATGGGCCGATGTCTGTCCAAGGGTTCGACGTCGACTGATACCGACGTTAAACCGATGCATCGTGCGTCCCGTCTGATCATACATGTGATTAACTCAAGAGAACAAAAGGCACATGAAATGGTAAAGTGCATGATTCATGTATATTTCAATTTGGTGTCAGTTTCACCTCTTCACATGCTTCATCTCTTAAAGGCTTTATATGCGACCCTACCCAGCCCAGCATGAAACCAAAACAACTCGCGCTGCATTGTTGTGTTAGCATGCTAATGCTAGCGATCTTTATTATGCTCGTATCTTCACACTGCATGTAAATTTACCTGAAATGAGCGTGATCTAGAAACACAGTTAAGCAGTGAGTACAGTATGTTATTCTTCTTTTCTCTAGTCCCTCAGTTAAACAACTTTTCTACACGAGGGGAGGAGTCAGCCGGCCGTCCCGGCGATGTAAACAAACTGAAGATAGGACTCTGAAAACTCAGAAAGCATCACAGACAGTGGGACTCGGGTGTTACACCCATTGTAGACAGTCATGACTCACAGAGTTATTTTCAGAGGAGATACTTGATTTATATTATATTTAAGTGTGAAAAAAAAAAAAATATATATATATATATAAAGCCTTTAACGTCTTCTCATCGATGTCTGACATTATCCCACTGTCGTCTTCTTCTTTTATCCTGCCGTCAACACCTTCTTTGTCTCATTAACCTCCGTTCACGTGACCATCATTCTGGTCTTGTGGTTACACACAGTGAGGGAAATCTGTCTTCAGCGCCGTCATTTATTTGTCATTGAAATTCTGATATTTGGCACCAGCCGTTTCAATAATTGCACCGTCCTACCCCTAATTCAAAGTGCGCTCATGAATTGCGTTGAGTTTTCCAGTCAGAACTCTTAATTCACCACCCTGCAGACGAGCTCAGATGTTTAGGTTACTAAGAGCAATTAGTGGGAATAAGCATGCTGGTTAACGCATAAAGCAAAGCTCCACACGCTGACATCTTAATGCCGCTTTCTAAAAATGCTTTTGGGGCTTTGCCGGGTTAGGAGCAAAGCCTCAAGGGTAATTTCTGCTTCTTAACATTTTGTGTGAGTGTGTGTGTGCTTGTGAATAAATGATACAGTCCTGGATCTATATTTTGTACCGGCTGGCATGAATAAATCATCCACTGTTAACCTACGTTTAAATATCTTTTCCTCTTGACCTTTCCTCAGAGATACGGATTAACTCTTTCTTTTTGTTCGTGCGCAAATACGTCCACAGACGATTGTGACAACTTTTTGCTTTCAGTTGTGATTGTTGATGTTTTATTTTTGGGCCTTTTTTTGGTTTCTCAGCAGGCGTCACGGTCCGTCAAATATCTTTGATTTCACTGCAGTTGCAGCAACAGAGTGATCCTCGCAGAGCCGAGAGAAGGGGGGGCGGGGGACGAGAGGATGAGACAGGGAGATAGGAGAAGAAGCAGTGGAGGCTCTGTCATCTACATTTAAACAGGATTTCTTACAGACACAGGCAGCTGACGACTAATCTTTGCGAGCCTGAAGAACCTGCGTCTACAGCACCCGACATTCAGCCCTAATGATGTTTTGCACTCAGCTGAATGCGGCCCTGTCTTCTTCTTGTTGCTCAATCTTTTGTTGCTGCAAGAAGGACGCGGTACTTCCCCCTCCTCTTGCCGAGGTGTTGTTGCTGTAACCTCTTCCTGTCTTCTCATAATGCCTCTTGATTTTGCTGTTTAGACGCGGCACCGTGGGGTTGAATCTGCCCTTCAAGGGGGCAAACACACTCTCATCTGCCTTTCTCCCTTTTGATCGAGGGAATAACAGGAAACATTCAAGAGTGAGAGATCATATCTCCAGTTTGAGGCAGTCATGACTCAAATTTCAAAAGTTGCTTGTAATAGTAGTTCAGATACCAGTTTTGTTTAAAGCACGGTTGTTCTTAGATATCTGCAAGTACCTGAATCTGAATCGGGTTTGTGCCCATGAAGTTTACACACATGAGATACCACTGGAAGAGTAATGTATGCCTACTTAAATCAAACACAGTGAATAATCCTTGATCAGTAAGGGGCGTGAAACATGAATCAGATGAACTGACCACACTGGTCTGACACTGGAACCAGCAGGTTTCTTCTTCTTCTACATAATATAATGTGGCTTATGCTGGAAAATACTGTTTCATGCCAGTCAAACGTCTAATGCTAGTCAAAGAAAAAGAGGTAGTTATATGCACATCATGTAGGGTAGTGCGAAAAAACAGCAAAGCTGAGGAAAAAGATATCACCTGAAGAAGACCTCTGGTGGAAAACGTTGTGATCATTAAAACCTTTTTTTTTTCTTTTGAGGCATTTGATGCTAGTCAAAGCTACCAAATTGTCAGCAAGTAGGGGCTTTCCACCGATATCATTTTTTTCACACTAGTATTAAGGCGGTACTCAACAGGTACCCAATTCTTAAGTCCAGGTATCGTTATCAGTGTTGACGTCGAAACATCTCTTCTCGCTTCTTCTTTTACAAAACAGTAGCCCACAAATGAATCATGTGTAATGTGGCTGTCACAAGCAGCCATTGTTTTTTTTTTTGTGCAGCAGTAGTAGAGTAGAACTGTTTCCCCATAAATAGTATATTTTAACTCACTGGAATTGAATGCGTCAGAGTAAGTGTCAGAATTGGTATCAAGAAGTGAAATCAGTGCTTTCAGGGACTCTCTATTCACTGTATCTGTCAAGACCGGGCGATGGAGATTGCGCAAATATTTGTTGTGAAAGGCACAGAAGCACAGTCATCTGAGATCAGCTCTGCCCCCCCCCCCCCCCTCTGACATCCATCACCACAGCGTGAGGTCATTTCTGTGTCCGGGCCTCCTGACCTCCTCTTGTATTCTTTACTAGAGTGGAAGAAAATCACATCCGTGGCTCCAAACCAGCTCTCCCTCTCTCTCTCTCTCTGTGCGATGTAGTGGGTGATTCCTCTCTCTGCTGTCTCTTCAAGGCTTCTGCAGTATCATCAACACACACACACACACACACACACACACACACATGTACGGGTGCTCGGTGCTATCCCCTCCGCTCGGTTCATTGCTTCTTCTTCTTCACCTCGAGGGTGAAACCGTAATTTTTCTGCTGCTGAATAATCCCACTGATGAGAACTGTAGCTCGCCTACCCGACTCCAAGCCTC